TTTATAAAGGAAACAATGGAAGGAACCATTTATTTCCAAGAATAGAAATATGCAAATCATTTGATAGCATTTGGAATTCCTTCAGTGCTGCTCTGCTGAGGAGATGACATTTGGGTACACACAACAAATAGATTAGCTAACAGCTGTAGTCCTGCAGTTCCAACAATACGGCTGTAGATGTCTCTAAACTTCAACATCAGCACATCATATATAGAGGACGATCAAAATACAGTGTGACCAATACAACTACTGAATAAGAAATTATGAACAGCTTCAAGTTTCTCTAAAATTGAAAGAAAATGCAATTCTAACCTTTTTTGTCTTGATGCAGGTAATGTTACAAAGCTATGATAGAAAACGTGCTCACTTTTGCCATTTACTATCTAATAGTCATGCTACAAATGAATGAGACGACCTTGAGCATTTTAAGATTTTATTTGAACCCTTGCGCTACTTTGAGGTAAAGCATTTCAGACAACCACTGATAGTGGTGGGCATTTGTGTGGGCAAGTCAGTTCTTCCAGGTTCAGCTCACAAGTGATGTCATATGCTGGTTCATTTATCAACATACCATCAACTCTCAACATCATTCTGGTTTTGTATTTCCACAACACAAGTAATGAAATGATTCTGACCTGAGCAACTAAAGGACAGCGGTAGATCCAGATCAGAGGATTGCTTTCTTTTTGGTGTGTGTGAACAGAGCACAGCTTTATTTTTGGTGTGTGTGAACAGGGCACAGCTTTATTTTTGGTGTGTGTGAACAGGGCACAGCTTTATTTTTGGTGTGTGTGAACAGGCTCATCAACTGAAACTAAATCCTAGCAAGACTGAGCTGCTATTCATCCCTGGGAACTACAGATCCTCACTATGATCTCGCCGTCTCATTCGAGAACTCTTTGACTGGTCCATCTGAAGATGTAAAAACGCTTGGTGTGATTCTGGACGGCCAGTTATCATTTTCAGCTAATATTGTGAACCTGACTCGGTCATGCAAGTTTCTACTGTACAACATCCAAAGGATTCGACCCTATCTCACTCAAAGGGCCACCCAGGTGCTAGTTCAGTCTCTTGTCATCTCAATACTTGACTACTGCAACTCGCTCTTGGCTGGTCTTCTTATGCAGGCCATCAGGCTCCTGCAACTCATCCTGAATGCAGCAGCACAGCTCGTCTTCTGTCTTCCTAAGTTCAGTTACGTCACTCCACTGCTGCGCTCCCTTCAGTGGCTTCCTGTAGCTGCACGCATCAGATTTAAAACCCTCATGCCTATCTACAAAGCCAAAAATGGACAAACCCCTCCCGTCCTAATGGCAAGGGTCAAATCTCAAACTGTACCTCTGGACCGGCTTGACAACCATTGAGCCCCATACTGTACAACACTGTGCAATCCTCACCCTCATTAACTGACCCTCCCGATGTTGCTGCTGCTGCATAAACTACAACTAATCAAATTAACCATTGCTCCATCTGTTTTAATCCTTTTGTACTATAATACTTTATACTAACAATGTTTGCTATCCGGTGTCGACCAGAAGAGGATGGGTTCCCCTTCTGAGTCTTGGTTCCTCTCAAGGTTTCTTCCTCTTGCTCTTAGGGAGTTTTTCCTTGCCACTGTCACCACTGGCTTGCTCATGGGGGCTTGGACCCAGATTTTTTTTCTGTAATGCTGATTTTTCTGTAAAGCTGCTTTGTGACAACTCCTGTTGTAAAAAGCGCTATATAAATAAACTTTGCTTGCTTGTTTGCTTAACTTGAACCCTTCAAACTTGACCTGCCATTCTTCAATACGCATGGCCAAGCATCTAGACTTTTCTCTGTCCTGGAACCCAGGAGGAGAAACGAACTCCCACTGGCTGTCCAAACAGCAGACTCTCTCGCGGTCTTCAAACACAGACTGAACACACATCTCGTTTACAGCACTTCTCTATGTATCAACTTGGGTTTTGTTTCTAGCAGTATCTCTAACCTATTTGTAACTAGCAAAGACAGTTTCTCTGAAAAGACAACAAAGCACTTTTGTAAGTTACTCTGGATAACAGCATTTGCTAAATGCTGTAAATGTACATGTAAATGTGTAAGTTCTCAGTTGATGGTGTATGTAAGTGTTTTGTGGCTGGTTTTAATAAATGTCTTAGAAAAGCTCTGACCTGTCCATTCCTCACTGCTTTTCCCTTCTTCACCAGGTCAACCTTTTAATGCCACATGTTACAGACCTCTCAACACCATAGATATATAAGGTGTGACTGTGACAGGCCTCACTCTCAGACTGAGAAAACGTGATGTAGAGACAAAGACTAAGACTGAGATCACTTCATTGTGTTCTCAGAACTGGTCACAAGTTCTACTGCATTAGTTATACATTTTTCCCCTTTTCATAAGCATGAACTAATGACCAACTGCACCAAAAATACTGAAATCAAATTATTACTACTTGGTTACGGATAAGTTGATGAGTGCATCAGATCTAGTTGAGCATCTGTTTTGGAAAGTTTCTTTCAGTCTGCTGTGTTGTTTGCTGAGCTTACAAGCACATTCTTTCTTATGATTGAGTCTGTTTTACTGGGTTTTTAGAATTTCATAGAAGACACTTTTAACAGAAACTGCTATATTAAGGTATAATAGGTCAGATGGGCTTATTTCATGTTTATGGATTCAAAACAATTCATCATAAGACTTAAATAGACATGAAAGAAGAACAAAAGACCAAAAGACTTCCGAAGGCCAAACATGAGTTAGTCAAGCAGTCAGAAAAAAAAAAAAAGCTGTGACTTTTTCCAGCCAATGAGGTTACACTCACATGTACAGCAAGCTAACTTGATGCTTTTGTCTGTTGCGACCTCTCAAATTTACTTTAATGAAGATCTGATTCTTTTATGATGATGGCTCTGATACGGATTCTCATCTTATGTCTCTACATAACAGGCAAGTCCATTTACTTTTAACTGTGCTTGTTAAAATGTCATTAGCTGTTGTTTTTATCAGTTTAGCTCTGATCCGATTGTATCTATTGTACCTTCTAGATTCTGCTCAAGCTGTGGATCTTTCTGAGGCATCATTTGTCTCAACTAAGCCTGGTGAAACTGTTACTCTACACTGCAAATTTGTGGAAAATCTTTCTCAAAATAATTGGGTTTGGTACAAACAAAGATCAGGACAGGAACCTCAGGAAGTGGCAGTGAAGTTAATCTCTAAAGACCCCACTCCTTCATCAGACAGATTCAACATAAACCAGCATTTTTCTCTGACTATTGTACAAACTACTAAAGATGATGAAGGAATGTACTTCTGTGGAAAAGAAGACCAAAAAACCATTACCTTTTATAATGGCACATTCTTAGCCGTGGCAGGTAATGACATTATGATTTTACACTTCATTATCATATAAACCATATGAATGTCTGAAAAAAATCTATATGCACTAAGATCTTGCAATGTTTTTTTTTCATGACCAGGTCAACCTCAGTTGAATGTATCAATTGTCCAAACTCCAGTATGGGGGTCAGTTTCTCCAGGGGAGTCGGTCACTCTGCAGTGCACGGTCCACTCTAAGACCGGAGCAGCAGAACTCCGGGTGCTCTGGTTCAGAGCTGCTGCAGGACAATCCTTTCCTGAAATCATTTACACTCACAACAGCAACAGCCGTCATTGTGAGATCAGCTCTTCTCCACACAAATGTGTGCACAACTTCTCCAAGAACAACCTCAGCAACTCTGAAGCTGGAACTTACTACTGCGCTGTGGCTGCTTGTGGGAAGATCATTGTTAGCAATGGAGCATCAGTACAACTGAGTAAGCAATATTTAAGAATTTTAAAGTTATTGGTCATTGATGACTTGTGTGATGGATGTAGATATTAAAACTGATGACATCCTTTCACTTTATTGACTGAGTTAATTATATGGCGTAAGCTGTCTTTTAAAAGTATTTAGCCCTTTGCCATCATTTCAAGGTAGAACGTTTTTACGTTGAGTACTTTGTAAAAGTTTTAGGAATAAATATGTTTAAATCTAGTTATCTATGAAGTATTTATTTGCTCAGAAAAGCAGTAATAGTAAAATAAACACAAATAATAATAATTCAATATGTAGTAATTTTGTGCCAAATGCTTTAGAAAGCCTTTACTGGAAGCCCAGTATCTTTTGTAATTATCATCCAGTAACTGGTTTGGCTAATCAGTACTTCTCTAAATTAAGTCAGTAACAGTGAATTTGCACAAATTTATGCAATAGCCTATGTTCTTCTAACTAGCTCACAAGATACCACATACTAATTTGAAAACTTGAAATACTTATTTTTTACTGTTTCAATATTTCAATATTTATTTATATTTATTCTAATGTAGTATTGAGCTTTTACTTAGCAACAACACATTTACTGTTGAGAAAAAAAAATTGCTTCATTGCCTTTTTGTACTGTATGTTATCTGAGCCTCACTTATACATTTGCTAGTATAGTTCTCAGGAGGGGAACATGAACAGAGAAACTGTACTGATGTGAAAGTATGAGTACTTAAATAAAATCTTACTCAGTTAAATTTGAAGTACAGAGCTGAAAATATTGTGAGTGAGAGTCATAATGTAACAATATCTTAAAATCTTCATGTATATAAGAGTAAAAAGTAGCTGTTTTAACCAATCACTGAGAAATTTTGTTCAGGGTGTGTAAGGTAGCTTACATTTCTTTGAAATGTAAGCAAGTAAATATGTAAAGTTCAATTTTAATTCAGTTTTAATAATATTAAAATAAAATACAACTTCTCCAAAGCAATACTTTAGCAGAGTAATGAAGCACAATTTTTGTAGTAGTATTTTTCACCGCTGGTAGAACAGAAGAATTCATTGGTAACATGGTGACAATCTATGTATGTATGTATGTACATACATACGTACTTATGTATGTATTTATTTATTTATTTATTTATTTATTTATTTATTTATTTCAGAGGGCCCTGTGGATCCTGTTGTGATCTTTCTGGGAGCAGCTTTGGGAGTGTGTGTAGTTGTGATCTCTGCTCAAGCCTTTATAATCTGTAAAAGGAGAAACAGTGACCACTGCAGTGGTGAGTGGAGGAGTTTAGAGTCTTTTCTTTACATTAATCACAGTGTTCAGTTCAGTTGTTTCCCTCACTGAGAACACCAAGTGATAATGTTAAAGAAAAGTGAACATCCAAATATAACAATCAAACAACCCAAAATATAATAGAATAATGCCCATTAGCCCAAACAAATATTTTACCTTAGATTACATTATATTATTCTAGTATAAAATATTAAAGAAGAGGTTATGATGGGTTGATGGGTTGTAAGAGGTTTTAGTTGTTTTCCATAAGTTTTCTTCAGTTGAACAAAGTTGTCTGGACTATAACACTTCCACAGATCAGTAATATATGTTGAAGCTCAGCAATTAACAGTTCTAAAAGTCATAGGCAACATCTTCTAGGAAACCACTGTGTACTGAATAAGACTGGAGTAATATGCACTACTTAATATATGAACACTGTATTTACAATCTACCTTTAGATATACAATGTAAATGTATTGAATGCTTGTGCAAACTAACTATAAATGCAAATGTAGTGATAGTGCTGCAAATGTCAACTTGGCAAAACATTAATGTTGTCTGATCCAATCATGATACTGTATATTCTTTGTCCACCACAGTGAGAAAACAACAAGGCTCAGCAGCAGAGAACACAACCAGTCAGGTAACACCTGTGTTCTGTAACACTTTCAGAAGATGCTGATACTGTTTAATCCACACAGAACTTACTGAACCTTTCGTGTTCTTTCTCACAGACTGCTGAGAGTCTGAATTACGCTCCCATCCATTTCAAAGAGAACAAACCCAAAACTGGACGAGTGAAGAGAGAACAGCCTGAAGACATTGTGTACTCTCAAGTGAGAAGCTCTAATGCTAAAGCTCATCGTTCTCATCGCTAGATCTCTTTTCTTTAGTGAGCAGTAGTGAAGTTTGGGGATGTTTTTATTTTACTGTGATATTCAGAGTTGCACATGATCTCCAGGTTAATTTAGCAATCTTATTATTTCTCTTGATTTTAGACTGGTGTCTGCAGGTGTGTGAGGTTTAGGTTCCCATTTTGCTTAGAGCTGGGTGTAAAATATGCAGTTTAGTCTGAAGTTTCAGTTCTCTAAAGGAGTGTGTGAGGATGTTTTAGAGTGAGTGTGGTTACTATAATCTTTCACCTGTAACAGACACTCATGAGTTTATCCTGATGTTGTCTGATATTGTGCACCATTCATAGATGTGTAATGAATTTTTAGAGGCTGTCTAAAGTTTTGACAGAAAAGTCATTTCAAAAAATGATGAAATTTCCCCCATAATTTGTTCTTTTTTAGCATCAAACTTTTATTAAAACACAAACATAACAAATCCTGAAATTTACACAGTTTACTGAAGTTACCTTTTTCTTATTTCCTTTGAACTACAAGCATAATCTTGGTCACTCTGAAGTTCTGAAGTCCAAATGTAAAAATTACATTATATGTGCTTTCTCAAGTAACACATTTGGATTCCACAAAAGAACCCATGATTTTATAATAGCAATATTGAAATTATTGCTAGTGTATTTTACACAGTGGCATGCATACTATTTCTAAACCTTCATGTTTCACGTTTTAAGTTTATTTGTCATTTGCACAACATGTCAAGACATTCATGCATTGAAATGTTTGTGGTGAGGCTCAGGTTATCACTGTACAGCATGGCTGCATTATATACAGACAAAACAATGTGAAAATGCAAAAGAAAATACTAAAACTAACATATATTAACTATACAGAAATTATACGCAAAATATAGAGACCGGAGGGACCTATGTAAGAAAAACTCTCTGCTATGTACAAATATATTAAACAAGGGATAATCTGAGAAGAATAAATAAACATTTTTAAGTGACTAGTGTTATTGTCCATTGCAGTGATATGATATAATAATAATAATAATAATAATAATAATAATAAGTAATTGTTAAAGTGTATAAGTAATCATACATTTATAAGTAAGTAATAAACGTAAAAAAAAGAATAAATTAAAAAAGATTTCAAGCCAGAATTAAAACCAGGATTATTTATTATTTTATTATTTCACGCTCTTAAGATGGAGGAAAACACTGCTTATTTTTGCCGGTTTAATCTATTACAGTATGATCAGTACATGGTCTGGAACAGTTACCATTTTTGCATTGTTTATTTAATATTTAACAAGGAAGCAAAAGTGTAAGAATATATTTTACTTTTTATTATTGCTGACTGAGTAAATTCACTCTGTTTGAAATGCACCGTAACATTTGTCTACATACGTTCAAATTGATAAGAACATACCTGGAGAAACTCAATTAATTCTCAACAGATTTAGTTTGAGTTTAGGATCTGGACCAGTGGTAGAGTTGAGTTTAGGATTAGGGCCCAGTGTAGAGTTAGAAAAAAATATGTAAATGTAATAGATATTTTGTTCTAAAGTAAACAAGTGACGTTTGCAGTCATTTTTGTTATACTGATGTACTCAGTGCTGCAGATGAGCTTCACTTCAGCTTTGTAGTTTTTAATGCACGAACACTTCATTAAAGCGTGGATGTGATGTGAAGTTGCTTTTTTTTTTTTTTTAAACCAAACTTTTTGTTTTCTTTATTAAAGTTTCACATGTTGGCCACCTAGAGAAATGAAACTTTGTGGTATTGAATTTAAATGGAAGATGAAAACTAATCATAAACACATTGTATATCCAGTGGCATTTAAAATTACAAAAACTTTTTTTTACAAACTAAAACAATAGAATTTTCATTATCTTTTATATTAAGGCAAAATATTAACTCTGTCCACATGTAAGTTACTTTAATAAGGTTTCTTAATACTTTTAGTGCAAATATTTTAGTATATTATGTACACAATGTATTAGAGCTAAAGCTCTTTAGGTTTGGTAGTTTTAGTGAAGGTAAAGGAAGAAACTTCACTCTTCAGTCTTTTCATTTATTCTTACACTAAAAGTTTATGATCTGTATTCTGCTGTGCATAACAATGATGCCTGTGCTTGTTTATTAATTGAATTATCCAGGATTGTGACACAATTTTTAGACAATATTTTTCTGAATATTTCTGTGTATATATAGCAGTTTTATCCCCTTGTTTACTTATCTTCTTATTAACCAAACGTCTTGTGCAAAGAACTTTCTAACTGAAATAAAGTTGTGCATCATAAATAAAGATTTGTTATTGTGTTGGGAATTTTTTGTTGCAGAAAATCTTTTAAAGTTTAGGCACCATATTTATTCTACTAAGAGTAAAATTTCAAATGTGTACATAAACAAAATTTATTTGTTGAATGATTTTAATAAAGTGTTCTTAAACAATATGTGCAAATATTTGAAATGTACCTGAAGGTGTATGATTCCTATTAAGTTGTTATGCAATTAAATAGACTGAAATATCAATAAGGTTATGAAAGTACAATGAAGTATACATGAGTTTCTTTGGACGATATATATATATATATATATATATATATATATATATATATATGTTAGCGGGATTCATATGTCCTATTCATGTTGTATGTTTTGTATTGTCATATGCTTTGAATTGTATTACTTTCTGCAGTATATTAAATTCAACAAATAAACATTAATTGTGTATTAAGATGTGCAGAATTTTGTTCTCTGTGTAACTTATTTTCACAACTAAGCATGCCATTTGACCACGGGTGCCCAAACTTTTGCATATGACAAAGTCAGGGAAGATGATTTTTATGACTGAATGTACTTGTAATTATTATTGATTTTCAAAGAAGGCCAATAGATGTCTTATGACCAAACAAGGTTACAAATGATAAAAAAATCATGTGACTGTTTTTAGCCAGTGAGTTTTCGCTTATGAAACCAGGCAGTGAAAACAGGCCGAGGCTTCAGTCTCTAATTTCCTTTCAAACTGTTTTACTGAAGTAAGCATGTGTTTGTAGATGATGGCTGTACACAGGATTGGGATTATCATTTTATATTTCTACAAAATATGTAAGCTCATAAAATTACAAAACACCACACATTTTTGTAAGTATGCTTGAAATTTTATTCAGATTTTATTACTGACCTAGACTGAACGTTTTACAGATTCTGCTCAAGCAGTGAGAAATTCTGAGCTGTTGGTTGTCTCAGCTGAGCCCGGTAAAGCGGTCACTCTCAACTGCCCACCTGTAGAGGACTCAGATGCAGATGTTAGGATGTGGTACAAACAAAGACTGGAGCATGCACCACTGGAAGTGGGATCAAAGTTTAAAAACAGGGACTCAATAATTTCAGCTCCTTTCGATCAATCAAGATTTAAAATAGACAGAATTGCAAGTGGCATTTCTCTCAGTATTGAACGTGTCACTAAAGAAGATGAAGGAATGTACTTCTGTGCAGCGGCTGGAGAGAAAACAATGAACTTTTCTAATGCTACATTCTTAGCTGTCACAGGTAAGATTTGTATAGTACTATTGTTTTCAAAGCTCTTAATGTGTACAGTTCTTTAATATATATGCAAACACACTGTTCAAGCTGTTCCAACACTGTCAATTTTCTATTTTCCAGGGCAGTCAGACATATCAGTGCTCCAAACTCCAGTACGGGGGTCAGTTTATCCAGGAGAGTCGGTCACTCTGCAGTGCACAGTCCTCTCTGAGATCGGAGCAGCAGAACTCCAAGTGCTCTGGTTCAGAGCTGCTGCAGGACAATCCTTTCCTGAAATCATTTACACTCATCAGAACAGCAGCAGCCGGCAGTGTGAGATCAGCTCTTCTACACACAGCTCTGTGTACAACTTCTCCAAGAACATCCTCGACCACCACCATACTGGAACTTACTACTGTGCTGTGGCTGCTTGTGGGAAGATCATTGTTGGAAATGGATCAAGAGTAGAATTAAGTAAGTATTTCCATGTCCTTTATGCTCTTATATGTATACGTTTGAATAATTAAAAATTCAAAAAAGTTGGGACAGTGTGTGAAATGCTGATAAAAACAGAAAGCAGTGCTTAGTAAATTCTGTTTGACTTGTATTCAGTTGAAAAGAGTATGAAAATATATCTGATGTTTTACATAGTGAACTTTATAAAATAAATATTTATTTATTTATTTTGTACTGTTTATTTACATACTGTGATGTGACTGTGTTACATCCTCTTTCACATTAACAACATTTTATAATCATGTGTGGAATGAAGACACCAACTGAACCAGTTTCAGATTTGTTATTTGATGCAATTCCATGAATTCTGCTTTCCCCCCACAGAGATTGTTCTGGGTTCTCTGAGTCTTTTGATGATATTATGCTTTGTAGTGGCTGAAACAACTAAAATCCTTGATTAAATGTTGCTCTTAAGCTTTTTTATTATTCGCTGATGGACTTTTTGGCTCTTTTTATACTTAAACATCTCTGTTTAAGATGTTTTTGATTATTTCTCAAAGTTCCTCGCCTTAAATTGTCCCAGTTTTTCTGTTGCAGCCATCAATTTCAGAATAAGCGTATATTTACAAAAACAGTTAATAAGATAAAACATTATACATTTATTTTTCTGCTGTTTTTGCTTGAATACAGAACAATCACTGCTTTCTGTTTTATTTACATTTTTCAGAATTTGGTTTCTATAATGTAGATCTTGCAGTTTATAAACTAATTTTTCATGGTTTGCTTGTTGTTAAGCAGTGCTTGCAGAGGTGTGCAAAAGTTTGGACAACTTAAGTCCAATTGTGTGTTTTGTTTTTCTAAGTGATAATAACACATTCTCTACAGATAACACATCTACAGTTGGACATTTTCTGCTGATTTTAGAAAATATTGTAACTGTTCACGAAATATGTTCTGCCTGTTTATTCTGAGTTTACTGGAATTGGATGCAAGGAGTGAGGAAGTAGCCAGAGATTATCTACCCCTCTCTGGGTGGAGGGCCTGTTGGTATATGGTGAAGCTGTGGCCAATAGTGCTGTATAAAAGCAGAATGAATTGTGCATAAGCTGTGTGTCCTTCTTTCCTAGCAGTAAATGCTACTATATAAAACTAATATATATATATATATATATATATATATATATATATATATATATATATATATATATATGTGTGTGTGTGTGTGTTCGTGTGTGTATGTCTACATTTTATGTTGTAGTATATATATTCCCCTTGTATGTGAACTTACTTTCACTTGGAAAATCAGCAAACTTTACAGAAACATTTTAATTATGTTTCTATTATTCTCTTTAAAAATCATTTTCTGCACTAAACTGTCATTTATTCCTGATCTCTGTTTTCTAGATGATCATCATCACCAGTCTGTGCTGGTTGTTGTCATGGGAGTGGCGCTGGGCTTGAGCTTAATGTGCAATATCTGGAGCTGGAGGAGAGGGAGCTGCAGTGGTCAGTTTATTCAGAAACAATATATTTCACAATTTATTATCGAATATTTCTAACACATTTTCCTCTCAATGCATTTCAAGGCAAAACATCTCAATCTGTCAACCACAATTTCTCAGAGGAGCTTCAAGTCCAGGTACATCATCATCATACTCATTTCACTGATTCCATAGAGGTGTCTGAAGCAGGTTTTTTTTTACTTTTTGATTCAATATTTAACATATACACAGTCATAGTTCATTATAGAAAAATGTCCACAGCCCGATGTCCAAATCCAAAACCACCAGTGACCCCATACGTGTCTTCTGAGTTTACATGTGTAATGTTGATTAATTCTTATTCAACAAACTGCTTAGCCTATGTAAGTATATATAAATATGTGTACATATAAGCAGCTTTAAATTAATGTTGGGCTAATTCTCTTGAATTATCCACTGTGATTTTTTTTTTTTTAATTTATAAAATATGACTGTGACAGTATATGGTCACTATATTTATTTCTGTTAACAGTTTTAATCCATTACTATTAAGTTATAGTAATATTATCACAACTGCTATAAATAAGTCTAAGGTTTCTTCAGTAATTGCTTAATAAAAAAACAAATGCTTAATGAATAAAAAAAAAACACTTTGGCAAATTCTATTAACATGTAATGAAAAAAGAATGTAAAATACATGTGCTTTACAATTTCCTGAATGAGTTCTTTGTGTGATCATTACTCTTGAAACTGCTTTTGAAATTTTCATATTAAATAACTTAATTTGACAAATTATATCTGTGTTTAGAATAGTAACAGTGTTGTACCTGAAGAATGGTAGCTCCTCTAGTTTTGAACCCATTATAGTACCACATATTATAAATCATCATCCTAAACAATAACTCCATGCCGATGATAATACGAAACTAAGGCACTTGCATGAAACTCTTAGCATCTGTATGTCTGTAAGATCACTTAATTTCCTCACTCACAGCCACAGAACTCACACAGTTTAAAATGATGCAGCTTTTTTGACTAAAAGAGTGAGTTTGTAGTACTGAGTTACTGAGTAATTCAACTTACTCACAAAATAATAGTTTTTCCTGAATGTAATTACCAAGTAGTTAACATTAATTACAGAATAATTCATAGTATTTACTGAATAATAAGTCTCAAGATTAATGTGTAAAATAGCAGCCTAGATATTGAGCAGTTTAAACCTCACTGCAGTTCTATGTGGTCTATTATAAACAAAGCTGAACTCCAGTAAACTGTTGATCTGTAACCACAATCTGAACACAAGATGTGACAAAAAAAATCACACCTTCAGATGACGTGTTTTTACAGCAGCTCATACACAGTGCAGCCTTTCAGGGTCAGCGGTCAGTTTTCTCACTTACAATAAACATTGGTAAACACTGATATTCACACAGATAAAATGTGTGAATCACCTTCTTTTTAGGACAGAAGGGTCCTGACTTTTTAGGACAACCGTAAATAAACAGAATAAAACAAAAACAAAGTGCTGTTTTAAATCCATAGCTTTCAGTTCCAGTTTTTTTTTTACTTTCAGTTTTTCAATCTGCAGCAATATTTTTACACACCTACAAAGTTCAGTCTTAAAAATTTGTTACTTTTCTTCTTTTCACAATCCCAATAACAAATTCAAATTCATCAGTTCAGAAAAACGTTTTTCACATCTCACACGTCCAGTTTTAGTACTTTAGTATGAATTGTCTTTTCCTTTAGGTCATTTAGCCATCTCTTATTATAAACTCCTTAAAATTCCATCTTCTACATCATCAGTACTTTTTCATCTTAGTGTGTTCAGCAATTGAGTAAAAAGCTCTAAAAAATACCAGTTCCTTATTACTGATTATACTGATTATTTTGCAGTTGTCCATTTCATTGTTGATCTTCTGTTTTCTGAAACAGGACTCTGACTCTGAGGAGTTTGATTTCACTGCATTACGTTTCTCTGAGAAGATGAAGAGAAGAGCGCTAAAGGAGAAAGTTTTCACCCGAGTGAGATTCTTCCCTGTTTCTGACTACAGAGCAATTCAGTAAAGCTGTATTACACAACAGGAAAGAAATCTTACTGAGTGAATGTAGTCATGTAGACTCGTAGTGTTCTATTCATATTTTTATACCATATTTTGTAGTTTTCAAGCAGTACACAAGATGACCCTGGAAGATTTGCTGTGTACACTGATTTAATCTTTACAAAATATTCATCTGGTCTTTTAGTACTTATACTTCATTTTTTTTTAAATTTACAGCATTAAAAACAAGCCAAACTAGAGATTTTAAATGTGAAAAATATGCCCAAAATCCAATCATTTATTGGGCTCTGCTGGACTCTGACTCTGATGTTTGTTACATGTTACATCCATTGTGTGTGTCTATTGTGCAAAGTTGATAATCTCAAGCTTCCTGAGGCTTCTTAGTAGACCTACTGCATTCACATGAAGAAATTAATACCTTGGATAAAAATGACTCTCATGTCATGACAAATTGGCCAAATTGGCAACACCTTTAGACTCAACTAACTGCCCTGAGAAACATCTACTCATTTTTATTTGCCCCATTAATGTACTCATGACATCATCCACCATGTCAGTAATTCTGTGAGTGGCTGTGTCATGTGAAAGGGGTCAAGTTATTTAGATGCTGTAGTTATAACCTGATGAGATACTGAGGTCAGAATTTAGAGGGCTGTCACTGACAGAGTGAGTGTCCAGACCTCCCTTTAAAAGCTGTGCAGTCTTTGACGCCCTCTACTGACAACGGCCTCTCAGTGCCCTTAAAAAAGGGGTGCTGAGCCAGATCTGCGTTTAGAGCTCACTGCCCTGGTCCCTGATATTGGACAGCTTTCTTCAGCTAAACAGACTCACCCATCTCACTGATAAATGATAATCTGGGGTTTTAGCTTGATCATACGTGGTATTTGCTCTGAAATGTTTGAAAACCAATGCTGTAAATCTTACTCCTTACTCTAGGCATGTTTTCTCAGATATAAACTGCATTTTTTATATACACATTAAAGAAGTTTTAATGCTGTTGATGGTGTTTGACTTATGTTTCACAAAGGTCAATATTTATTTATTAAACAAGTCTTAATTTTCCTTTACTGTTCTGAGGTCCAATGTATGTATTTTTATATGATGCACTAATATTGCATAAGTTAGACTACTTTTCACATTTACTGCTACTTTTTACATTTTATTATATATTTACATATTCACCATTAGAAGCAAATACTGTAATTTGTTAGTTATTAATTGTTCCAAAGGAACTTTAGTAACAGAGAATCAGTCATTACATATTTTAAAGCAACTTCGTAAGAACTGAAATGTTTCTGAAATCAACCTTTGTGGGGCTGAAGTGACCAGCTGTGGCCACCAGAAGGAGACACAAAGCCTCTTAGCAATCAGGACAACCAGCATCACCTGTGATTAGCCTACTTGAGGAAAATGCTCCCACTATTCCAGTGACAGCATATATGTGGGGACCAAGTGAGGTCAGTCGCGTCACTTCCTGTGTGGTGGATAGCAGGAACGTGAGAGACTGCGCAGACGCCTTAATGGCACACTTCTTCAGCGGGCTGTTCATAATACTGCACAGTTTGAAGGAGCTGAAAACATTTTTTAAACATGTTGAAGGAACAAAAAATATCAGAACTATTCAGCACAATAGTGCACTTTCACCATATCATGAATTTGAGTTACTACTTCCTAAATATAGTCATATATTTACATATATAGCAAAAAGAATAAATATTATTTACATTGTTTAAAAATGTTTAGTCATTCATATTATTAATATTTTTGACTGTATTATTAATGAATAACTAAACACATAACACAAATAAATAATAAAAGTAAACAATAGAAAAAAGATTCATGTTTATTACAGAACAATGTTTATTTTGAGGCTATAAGATGATAGAAAGGCCTGTTAAGTCCAGTCTCAGTAGAAGTGGACAGGGACATAAGATGATATTGAGCACCTGACAGTATCTGGTGCTCACTTGATAGTATCTGGTGCTCACCACATAGTATCTGGTGCTCACTACATACTGTAGTATCTGTAGTGCACCAAATCTGTACCTAAAAAAAATCATTTCCCTAAAAAAAAATACACCACATCCCCTATCCCTCCAGGGGATCTACCTACCTTTTCTTAGGAAGTATTTTGTGAATCAGACCTTTGATGCTCCCTTTCTCAAAGTTATTAATGATATTACTCATGCAATTTATAATATAAACGGTTTTATATTTGGACAAAGCTGCTGCAAAGTCTATTCTAGGCTTCTGCAGCTGGTGGGAAGAAAACTTGTGACACTGTGAGATTTGCCAGCCAATGAGATTTATCTCTTGAGCTTAATGTAGTTTGGTGCTTTAGTCAGAAGTTTCCTTTCCAGTTTACCTCAAATAAGCAAAGCATCTTATGATGATGATGATGATGATGATGATGATGATGATGATGGCTCCACTGTGGATTCTTTGTTTATTTCTCAACACAACATGTAAGTTAGGAACTCTTTTCAAAAGTATTAGATCCTCAGTTGCTATTAGTTTCTGAACTTCTGCTGCTAAAATGTTTTCATTTTTGTTTATAACTGTCTTCCTGTCCTTTTGTAGGTCCTGTTGAAGCCGTGGATCTTAATGAGAGAATGTTTATCTCAGTTACGGCTGGAGAAAATGTTACTCTGTCTTGCAATGTTGAAAAGTCTGAAACAAACACTAAGGTTTGGTTCAAGCAACAACTGGGGCAGGAACTGAAGGAAGTGGTAACAAAGTTAACTGACAAAAAAGCCATTTCAGAAAATTTGAAACTGGATCTAAACAAAGATTTTTCTCTGACTATTAAAGAAACTTCTGAAGATGATGAAGGAATGTACTTCTGTGGACAAAGTGATGGGAACACATTTACATTTTTTAATGTCATATTCTTGGCTGTGACAGGTAATCAAAATTTTATTAACTCATGCAAGTATTTTAGAATATCTTTTAAATTCAGAATTTTATTATTATAGCACCCAAAGTAATACAATATTGGGTAAAAGTGTTTTTTCATTTAAAATTATCAACACAATACCATGTTTAATTGTGATACATTGCAGCTGTAAACAAGATGTCTTTATTTAATTGACCAGATAAACCTCAGTTAAACATCTCAGTGCTCCAAACTCCAGAACGGGGGTCAGTTTCTCCAGGAGAGTCGGTCACTCTGCAGTGCACGGTCCTCTCTGAGATCAGAGCAGCAGAACTCCGAGTGCTCTGGTTCAGAGCTGCTGCAGGACAATCCTTTCCTGAAATCATTTACACTCATCAGAACAGCAGCAGCCGTCAGTGTGAGATCAGCTCTTCTACAAGCTGCTCTCTTTACGAGTTCTCTAAGAACATCCTCGACCAGCACCATACTGGAACTTACTACTGCGCTGTGGCTGCTTGTGGAAAGATCATTTTTGGGAGTGGAACATCAGTAGAACTTAGTGAGTAATATTTAAGCTATAGTTCATTGGTCATGTTTGTGATTGATGTTGACCATAGAACTGAACTTCATGTACAGTGCTGTGCAGAAGTTTTAAGCATCTGAGAAAATCATATTACTGTTTAGCATCAAGTGTTTATTTGCTTGGAAAAACACTAATATATATATATATATATATATATATATATATATATATATATATATATATATATATATATACATAACTAACAATTCAAGTACATTTCCTAATGTATTACCCAGGGGTGGAAAGAGTACAGAGAAATTATACTTATATATACTTATGTGTACTTAATAACTTGGAATGGAATCCAAATCCCTTGAATGAAAATAATAAAGTATCAAAATCTAAAAATATTCAAGTGTATAAAAAATCTAGATGTTTTAACAAATTACTTTGAAGTTTTCTTAGTTCATAGTGTATAACATGGTGGTGAACAGTTTAATGACCAGTGGTGTAGTTGAACATAAGCGCATGTTTATACTAGATTTTTATTGGGCAGTTTTTTTATGTGCTGATATGTACTTATATTGTATTTATGTTATAAATGCATGTACTTATACTTTTTATCCCAAGACACCTCACAGGTCCGGGTGAAGAAAACCATCACAATCGAAGTTCACAGAGTGTAATGTGATGCGTCAATTCCATGATTAATGAACAATTGTGATTGGTTCATCACCATTTTCTATGAATACCACCACCTCTCTCTCTCTCTCTCTCTCTCTCTCTCTCTCTCTCTCTATATATATATATATATATATATATATATAGACACACAATGAGTAAAAGAAAAAAGAAAGAAAAATGCAAGAAATGGAAATATATTGCAAATGAAATGTATAATATTCAATAAAATCCAATTATTTCAAAATAATACTTCAGTAGTGTATTAAAGTACAATTACTCAAGCAATTTTCAATCACTGGTTATATATAAGGTGTTAGGTTCTTTGTTCTTGTTGTGTCCCCCTAGAATTCACATCATAAAAATTCAAGATTTTTGAGAGTAGAAATATACAGTGTTATTCATTCATTAATTTGTTCATTTACTTCTTTATTTTCTTGCTTATTTATATGTTTATTTCTTTCAGAGGGGCCTGTGGATCCTGTTGTGATCTGTCTGGGAACAGCTTTGGGAGTGTGTTTGGTTGTGATCTTTGCTCAAACCTTTATAATCTGTAAAAGGAGAAACAGTGACCACTGCAGTGGTGAGTGGAGGACTTTACAGTCTTTTCTTTACATTATTCACAGTGTTTAATAGTTTTAACAACAAAGTAGGTGCAGTAAGTTAGTGTGGCAGAGCTTTTATCTTTAATTTCTTTAAACGCTGAAGTTTTATGTTTAAATTTGCAGACAGTCTTTTACAGAAAGAAGAGTCAGTATTTTTCCACACAGCATTGATGGCTTCAAACAAAACACTGAAAACACTGCCAAGCTAGTTTGTATTCTGTGAGACCAAATGTTCTCTAAAGGGTTTAAATCTGGACTCTGAGCAGGCCACGATCATTAAAAGGAATTTCCAGAAGGCCTATTTGTTTTACATAGGAGTGTATAAGAAAATGGTTCTCCACTAACTGAGCTGTAATAGTGTTTTCAGTAAGCCTGCCTCAACTGAACGAACTGAAAATGTCTTAAGCAAGACTTTGTAATCAATGCGGAACAGAACAGAAAACCACTGTAAGCTGAATAAGACTAGAATGATATGCTTTCTTTAACACATAAACACTGTACATACAATTTACCTTTGGACATAGTCTTCATGCAGTAAACAGGCTTCTGCAAACTTAATGAAAATGTGGTAAAAGTAGTGTAAACGTCAGCTTGGCAAAAAGTTGTCTGATCCAAACGAGATACTGTATATTCTTTTTCCACCACAGGGATAAATCAACAAGGTTCACCAGCAGAGAACACAACCAGTCAGGTAACACCTGTGTTCTGTAACACTTTCAGAAGATGCTGATACTGTTTAATCCACACAGAACTTACTGAACCTTTCGTGTTCTTTCTCACAGACTGCTGAGAGTCTGAATTACGCTCCCATCCATTTCAAAGAGAACAAACCCAAAACTGGACGAGTGAAGAGAGAACAGCCTGAAGACATTGTGTACTCTCAAGTGAGAAGCTCTAATGCTAAAGCTCATCGTTCTCATCGCTAGATCTCTTTCCTTTAGTGAGCAGTAGTGAATTTTGGGGATGTTTTTATTTTACTGTGATATTCAGAGCTGCACATGATCTCCAGGTTAGTTTTTGTGATCTTTATGTTATTTCTTTTGATTTTGGACTGTGAGGGTGTTTGTTGTTTCTGTTTATATTTACCAGGATCTACAGTAAAGTACTGTACTTTGATTAGGTTCCCACTGTACTGTGTGTAAACTGAGAATGTGTTCTATGAAGTTTATGTTCTCTTGTGTGAGAACACTGTTCTTAGAGTGTGTGGTGGTTATAATCTTTAACAGGTGGCAAACTTCATGGACGTGTGAATGTGATGAGAAATTGCTTTTTCATGATAGTCTCACACTTCAGTTACTTGGAGAACTGAAACTTATTTGGAGTTGTTTTGACAGTTGCAAATTTTTATGGAATTTAATACACAAACATGTCTCTTTTTTTCACCTTTACTCTTTCTAATGGTTTACTAATCATGTTCAATGTGCTTGCTGATTTTGTAATTAAAATAAAAAGTACTATAAATTATATAGATTTGTTGTTATTTTTATATGGCTGACATTGTGAACAAGGTGTTTAAATCATAAGCATCATTTATTCTGCAAAGAATGAAAGTTTGAGGCACCTAAAAAAAATAAATAATATATGCAGAAAATGTACCTTCAATTTTGTTTTATATTAAAAATTCTTAAAGATTTAAGAATTATGAAAATCTAAATTTCAGTACATTTACAGCATTTAGCAGACATCAGTGTTCACTTAATGTCTATGCAATTAGGAGTTTATAAACTTTGCCATTACGCTAGACGCCCTGTGAATAGAATTTCTATAGAATTTCTAAATACATTAGACACACTATCATGATAGGTCAGTTATCTGATCAAGTTACATTTTTTTTGTTGATTTTCTATCAAAGATGAAAACTTCTGGTGGTCTATAAGGTCGTGGGATGGTTGTTATGGTTGTCCCATTTTCTTATGCTTTAATAAATACTCCAGTTTTGGAAACTAATATTCTCAGAAATATTCCCTAAAAATGAACAACTTGTACTCTATAATTGTTTTTTTGAGTTGATTTAATAACTGTAGTTTGTTCTGAGTATACAGTCGCATGCAAAAGTTGAGCCACCTGGTCATGTTCTTGTTGATTTTTTCAAAGTAAAAATAAGTTACACATCGTCTATAGAGAACACACTTCTACACATGTTAATGCACAATTACTGTTTATTTGCTGAATTTAACACATTGGGGGAAAATATTACATAAAATGTAGTTTATGCAAAAGATATGCACATTTTATATTTTATTTGCCATTATATAAAAGAGAAATTATGAAGTACAATATTGAACACAAAATCATGCTCAAGTTGAGAATGAATTAAAATGTTTGCATTTATAAAATCAGCAAAATAGGTAATATACCCTGGGGGTGTTTAAACTTGTGCATATGACTGTATATCGCTGCTGTCGGAACAAAACCTCATATCTCCATTTTTGCCATTTTTCAGTTTTTGACATGCTTTGAAAGTACCTGTAGCTCTTTACATTGTGTGCATATTTCATGATGAATGGATCAAAAGAATTTGCCCAAAATGACTTGGAAAATATCTGGTTCCATTGACTTACATTAAAAGTAAAGTCGTATTTTTCCTTCTCCTGTAAAGTTACCATTTTGGAGATTTTTATCTGACAAAATATATGTATATATATATATATATATATATTAAACACAAGAAATAAGTAGGATAATTAGTAATAAATTAACAAATAATATGTTTTTGTAGCTCTAGTTTCAGTGCAGTTAGAAATAGGTATTAAATTAGATTTCTCAAGTTTCACTGGGCTTTAAAACCCATTTAAATATACATTTACAGTCAGTGATCTTTCACTGCCAAACATAGTGATATACAATTACACACAGGCATCTTTCAAACCAGCCTATGCATGTATGTGTGTGTGTGTGTGTGTGTGTGTGTTTGTTTGTTTGTGTGTTTGTGTGTGTGTATTTGAACACCAGTTGTCCATGTGACTTTTTTCAGCCAATGAGATTCAACTTAACTTTAACCGGGCAGCAAATATGACTTGATGCTTTGCTCAGTTATTTTCATTCCAATGTTTTTCTTCTTCAAGTAAACATGTGTTTGTAGATGATGGCTCTACACACGATTGGGATTATCATTTCATATTTCTACATGATATGTAAGTTTGTACATATGTTCATTTTTATTGATTTATTCATTTATTCTAAAGATGTTTTAGGCTGATCTTTGTTTTACAGATTTTGCTCAAGCAGTGAGAAATTCAGAGCCGTTGGTCATCTCAGCTGAGCCTGATGAAGCGATCACTCTCAACTGCACATTGGAAGGCAACTCAGGGGAAGATGTTAGGATGTGGTACAAACAAAGACTGGAGCATGCGCCACTGGAAGTGGGATCACAGTTAGAAGGAAAGTCGGCCATGATTTCAAAACAATTCAACATTTCAAAAAGATTTAAAATGAACAGAATTGCGAGTGGCATTTCTCTCAGTATTAAACGTGTCACTAAAGAAGATGAAGGAATGTACTTCTGTGGATCAGCTAGAGAGAACATGCTGGAATTTTCTACTGCTACATTCTTAGCGGTCACAGGTAATAGAACAGATTTCCTCTTTACTGTTCTCATTGTTCTTAACATGTAAGATTTCTTTTACAAAAAGCCCCAACAATGCATTATAACTGTTGAATCTCTGTTACATGAGTCCGTTCTCAACTACATTGTTATTATTGAAACTAATGTGAATATATCCTGTAAATCAGCAGTTATCAGTTATCACACTTTACATTCATAAATTACACTAGTTCCTTACTATGCTGTTAATATGCAGTTATTATATTTTAATTGCACTGTTAATATTGAGGAATTCTTGCACTATCTGCATTTTCTAGGGCAATCAGACATATCAGTGCTCCAAACTCCAGCACAGGGGTCAGTTTCTCCAGGAGAGTGGGTGACTCTGCAGTGCATGGTCCTCTCTGAGATCAGAGCAGCAGAACTCCGAGTGCTCTGGTTCAGAGCTGCTGCAGGACAATCCTTTCCTGAAATCATTTACACTAATCAGAACAGCAGCAGCCGTCAGTGTGAGATCAGCTCTTCTACAAGCTGCTCTCTTTACGAGTTCTCTAAGAACATCCTCGACCAGCACCATACTGGAACTTACTACTGCGCTGTGGCTGCTTGTGGGAAGATCATTTTTGGGCACGGAACATCTGTAGAACTGAGTAAGTGTTTCTGTGTACTTTATACTCTTATTTGATGTATAAGTTTGAATTATAAATTTCAGTTCTAAAAAAGTTGGGACAGTATGTGAAATGCTAATAAAAACAGAAAGCAGTGATTAGTCAATTCTGTTTGACCTGTATTCAATTAAAAATATATTGACATATTTGATGTTTAATGTTATAAACTTTACAGATTTTTGTCTGAATTCCCTGAATTTTTTAATGGAATTATGCACCATAGAGGGTAAAATACCTAAAATCCTTAAATGTTCCTTGTTGAGGAGCTTTGTTGCTTTATTTCAGAAGGTCCCATTATTGCTCATAAAGGAGTGAACCTTTCCTGGATGCTCATTTTATTTCTAAGCATGATTACATCACCTGTTTGATATGTTTTGTTGAACATTTAAAAAAAATTTCTAATCTTAAATTGCCCTGTACTAACTTTTTGGAACTTGTTGCAGCTTCAATTTCTCAAGCATATATTCACAAGAAACAATACAGATGATAAGACATCTTGGTGTTTTTGTTCAAATAAAAGTCAGAGCAGGTTTATAAATCACTGTTTTCTCTTTTTAATTGTATTACTTACAGTGTCTCAACTTTTTTTGCAATTTGAGATTGATTTCTATGTATGTGGATTATACAGTTTAACATGTATAAAATGTTTCTTACAGTTGTATGAAAAATTTGAACATCCTGTCATGTTATGTTTTTTTGATTTTTCTAGGCAAAAATAGACTTAATCCTAATTATCAAATCCACTTCAGACAACACACTTAAAAAGGCCATTTTGAGGAATCACTGAATTCAGGTGTTCCAGTCACTTCCATGGCCACAGGTGTATAAAACCAAGCACCTAGGCATGCAGACTGCCTCTACAAACATTAGTGAAAGAATGGGTCGCTCTCAGGAGCTCAGTGAATTCCAGTGTGGTACCGTGATAGGATGCCACCTGTGCAACAAGTCCAGTCATGAAATTTCCTCGCTACTAAATATTCCACAGTCAACTGTCAGTGATATTATAACAAAGTGGAAGCAATTGGGAACGACAGCAACTCAGCCACGAAGTGGTAGGCCACGTAAAATAATGCGCAGAGGTCACCAACTTTCTGTAAAGTCAATCGCTACAGACCTCCAAACTTCATGTGGCCTTCAGATTAGCTCAAGAACAGCATAGAGAGCTTCATGAAATGGGTTTCCAAGAACGAGCAGCTGCATCCAAGTCTTACATCACCAAGCACAATGCAAAGTGCCGAATGCAGTGGTGTAAAGCGCCAATGGACTCTGGAGCAGTGGAGACGTGTTCTCTGGAGTGAAGAATCATACTTCTCCATCTGGCAATCCGATGGAGGAGTCTGGGTTTGGCGGTTGCCAGGAGAACGGTACCTGTCTGATTTTATTGTGCCAACTGTAAAGTTTGGTGGAGGGGGGATTATGGTGTGGTGTTGTTTTTCAGGATTTGGGCTCGGCCCCTTAGTTCCAGTGAAAGGAACTCTTAATGCTTCAGCAGACCAAGAGATTTTGGACAATTTCATGCTCCCAACTTTGTGGGAACAGTTTGGTGAAGAACCGTTTCTGTTCCAGCATGACTGAGCCCCAGTGCACAAAGCAAGGTCCATAAAGACATGGATGAGCGGGTTTGGTAGGGAAGAACTTGACTGGCCTGCACAGACTCCTGACCTCAACCCAATAGAACACCTTTGGGATGAATTAGAGCGGAGACTGCGAGCCAGGCCTTCTCACCCA